TGCGACATGCACGGTGATTGTGCGACGTGCTCACGGTGATTGTGCAATGTGCTCGGTGATTGTGCGCGACGTGCACGGTGATTGTGCGACGTGCACGGTGATTGTGCGACGATGCGTAAGTGATTGTGCGACGTGGACGGTGGTTGTGCGACATGCACGGTGATTGTTCGACGTGCACGGTGATTGCGCGACGTGAACGGTGATTGCACAACGTGCACAGCGATTGCACTGTGATTCTGCAACGTGCACGGTGATTGTGCCAATGCAACGTGCACGGTGACTGTGCAATGTGCACGGTGATTGTGCAACGTGCACCGTGATTGTGCAACGTGCACCGTGATTGTGCAAGCAACATGCATGGTGATTGTGTGACATGGGTAGTGATTGTGCGACGTGGACGGTGATTGAGCGATGTGCACGGTGATTGTTCGACGTGCACAGTGATTGTGCAACGTGCGCGGTGATTGCGCAACATGCATGGTCATTGCACAGTAATTGTGCAATGTGCACGGTGATTGCGCAACGTGCACAGTGATTGCGCATTGTGCACGGTGATTGCGCATCGTGCACGGTGATTGCGCAACGTGCACGGTGATTATGCGACCTCCACGGTGTGTATTGCGACTTGCACGGTGATTGTGCAACGTGCACGGTGATTGCGCAACGTGCACGGCGATTGTGCAACGTGCCCGTTGACTGTGCGACGTGCACGTTGATCGTGCGACGCACGGTGATTGTGAGACGTTCACGGTGATTGTGCAACGTTCACGGTGATTGTGCAACGTGCACGGTGATTGTGCAACGTGCACGGTGATTATGCAACGTGCACGGCGATTGTGCAACGTGCACAGCGTTATTGCAAGCACGCGGTGGCACCAAGGGGCTAGTGCCAGTCAGGGGGCGCACCGCACGCTGGGCAAGCTCGTAGAGCAGCATGCTGTCCTCGAGCGTGGAGTGAGTCTTCTAGACTGATGAGAGCAGCCTGCTGCACCAAGGAGGTAATGCCAGTCACCGGGCGCACCCTGGGCAAGCTCATAGTGCGCCATGCGGCCCACACATCTGGAGTGAGTCCATCATACATTGACGCACGCAGAACGGTTGGTGATGTGGTGCTTGTGACGTTTCTCCTCGTCAGCTCGCTGCCGTGTCCCCTTGATGTGTCTCCTCTTCCTTCTCTGCTCTTCCTTCTCACCTCTTCCTTCTCTCCTCTTCCTTCTCTCCTCTTCCTTCTCTCCCTTCCCACCCTTTACCTGACTGGGATGCCCCAGTGGCCTCGGATCCTGTCCTAGACGCCCCTTCTCCTCCTCTCCTTCCTTCTCTCTCATGCAATCTCCCCCCAATGGCCTCGAATCCCAGAGGCCCAGTTCATCGGCAACAGCTCGCTGTCCGCCCCTCTGGAAGCAGAAGTGCACGTGCCGAAATCCGGTTTCGTCTACCTGTGGCTGGTTGTGTGACGTGCAAGTGCCGAGAGCCGGCTTTGTGCACATGGGTTCGTCATTGTGTCTTCTCAACCTTCCTCCTTTTCCTCTTGCCTATTCCCCTAGTGGCCTCGGATCCTCGAGGCCCAGTTCATCGGCAACAGTTTGCTCTCGGCCCCTCTGGAGGCAGACGTGCACGTGCCAAGAGCCGGCTTTGTGTACTTGTGGCTGGCCATGTGCGACAAGAACCTGGACAGCAGCAAGGTGTTTGGCCACACGGAGTGGCACGCGCACGGGTGGGGGTACCTGCCAGGGATGCTGTCGAACTGCCTGCTGGTGCAAGCAGGCATGCTGCTGGTGAGCGCTCTGGAGCACCTGTGCTGGCCTGGCTTTGTGTGTCTGTGGCTGGTGGCTAGCCATGTGAGTGTGTTGAGAACCTGGACCACAGCCATGTGGTTGGCTTCACGGAGTGGCGGGCGCATGGGTATTTGCCAGGGATGCAGCCTGCTGGTGCAAGCAAGCATGGTGCTGGTGAGTGGTCTTGTGCATGTGTCTTGATGTGTGCGTGTGTGCGTGTGTGCGTGTGTGCGTGTGTGTGTGTGTGCATGTGTGCATGGATCTGGGAATGCATGCATGCAAGCATCTCCACCCCACCCCATTCCCCCACCCACCCTCTCCCTCACCCCTCTTCCCCACCCTCTCCCTCACCCCTCCCCCCCACCATGTGCCTGTCTCTCCGATGTTTCTTCAGCTCGCATGTTGGGGGAAGGTGTTTCATTCGTCCATGTTTCGCATGTTGGGGGAAGGTGTTTCATTCGTCCCATGTTTCCTCGCCCGCCCGCCTGCTGGCTCCTCGCCGGCAACTCCCTCCTTTACTTCCTCACACTCCTCCTCACCATCGTGTTGCAGGTTTCTTATAGAATTCTCAGAAATGGCTCCTCTTGTTGCCGGTGTTTCTTTAAGAATTCGAAGAAAACCCTGCAATTCCCTCCTTTACTTCCTCACACTCCTCCTCACCATCCGCCCCTCTTGCTCTCCCATGCTATCCCCCCTTATCCCTCCAGCTCTACTTGCCTCTCTACCTCTTCTGGGCGCCCCCAATTCGGCCCCGCCTGGCGCTCCCTCGACCGCAACTCCCTCCCTCACTTCCTCACCCGTCTCACTCTTAGCTGCATCCTATGTCCCCCAACTGTGTCCCCCAACGTTCATCCCTCCAGCTCTACTTGGCTCTCCACCTCCTCTGGCGCCCCAATTCGGCCCCGCCTGGCGCTCCCTCGACCGCAATTCCCTCCCCCACTTCCTCACCTTCCTCCTCCTCCTCTCCCTCCTCTCCTCCCTCACCACCCTCTTAGAACTCCTCCTCCTCAGCGTCACTGGGGGCACCGATTCGTTGTAGTCACACTGGCTGCGGTCACAGCGGGGGTGCTGCAGGGTCTGCTGCTGAGGGCGGTGCTGGTGGGGTGGCAGCGGGGTTTGGAACGCTGCTGCCGAAGCTGGGGCCCATTCCAGGCAAGGTGGGCTGTGAGGGGACAGGCTAGGCTGGGTGGGCAAGGTGGGTGTTGAGCGGACAGGCTAGGCCGGGTGGGCAAGGTGGGGTGTTGAGCGGACAGGCTAGGCCGGGTGGGCAAGGTGGGTGTTGAGCGGACAGGCTAGGCCGGGTGGGGCAAGGTGGGTGTTGAGCGGACAGGCTAGGCCGGGTGGGCAAAGGTGGGTGTTGAGCGGACAGGCTAGGCCCGGGTGGGCAAGGTGGGTGTGGCGGGACAGGCAGGCCGGGGGGCAAGGGGGTGTTGAGCGGACAGGCTAGGCCGGGTGGGCAAGGTGGGTGTTGAGCGGACAGGCTAGGCCGGGTGGGCAAGGTGGGTGTTGAGCGGACAGGCTAGGCCGGGTGGGCAAGGTGGGTGTTGAGCGGACAGGCTAGGCCGGGTGGCAAGGTGGGTGTTGAGCGGACAGGCTAGGCCGGGTGGGGAAGGTGGGTGTTGAGCGGACAGGCTAGGCCGGGTGGCAAGGTGGTGTTGAGCGACAGGCTAGGCCGGGTGGGCAAGGTGGGTGTTGAGCGGACAGGCTAGGCCGGGTGGGCAAGGTGGGTGTTGAGCAGTCAGGCTAGGCCGGGTGGGCAAGGTGGGTGTTGAGCAGTCAGGCTAGGCCGGGTGGGCAAGGTGGGTGTTGAGCGGTCAGGCTAGGCCGGGTGGGCAAGGTGGGTGTTGAGCGGACAGGCTAGGCCGGGTGGGCAAGGTGGGTGTTGAGCGGTCAGGCTAGGCCGGGTGGGCAAGGTGGGTGTTGAGCGGTCAGGCTAGGCCGGGTGGGCAAGGTGGGTGTTGAGCGGTCAGGCTAGGCCGGGTGGGCAAGGTGGGTGTTGAGCGGTCAGGCTAGGCCGGGTGGGCAAGGTGGGTGTTGAGCAGTCAGGCTAGGCCGGGTGGCAAGGTGGGTGTTGAGCGGTCAGGCTAGGCCGGGTGGGCAAGGTGGGTGTTGAGCGGTCAGGCTAGGCCGGGTGGGCAAGGTGGGTGTTGAGCAGTCAGGCTAGGCCGGGTGGGCAAGGTGGGTGTTGAGCGGTCAGGCTAGGCCGGGTGGGCAAGGTGGGTGTTGAGCGGTCAGGCTAGGCCGGGTGTTGAGGGGACAAGCCCAACAAGGTGGGTCCGACTCGACTGTGCAGTCATTTCTGTAGTCCGAGCCGGGAGCATCCAGAGGGTGAGTGTGTCAACAGTGGGTGCGAGGAAATTGAGTGAGTGTCGGCTGGGCCAGTGGGCTTGAATGTGCAGGTGATGTTTGAGAATTCTAAAAAATCAAGAATGGCCTACAATGGCCTTGAATGTGCCGACTGAGCGTGCGCAGGGGTGGGGCAGGCTTGGACACATCCCCTGTTCTCTCGCCTCCCATCTGCTCTTCTATCCTGCAGGCCCGCGTACCAGCAGGGCTCTATGTGCTTGTGATGGGGGCGCGTGAGGGAGTGGGCACGCGGGGCATGTTGACGACTGGGGCAGTGGCGAGCATGTGGTTGCTTTATCTGTTTCTCCTGTTCCCCACGGGCTCCGACACCAACAGCTGTCTTCATTCTCGTGGTGGGACCGTGTGAGGGAGTGAGGAGCGTGGGGGGCAGGTCAGGCAACATCTCATGTCCTAACATCCTTTTATCTCTTCTTTCTTGCTGCCCAAACCAGGCTCTGATACCAGCAGCGTTCTACATTGTCGTGGTGGGCGCCTGTGAGGGAGTGAGGAGTGTGGGACTGGCTACGAATGTCTAACTCCTCTCTATCCTTCCTTTCTCTGCAGGTCCTGATACCAGCAGTGCTCTACATTCTCGTGGTGGGCGCGTGTGAGGGAGTGAGGAGCGTGGGGCAGGTGGACGACTGGGGCAGTGGCGAGCACGTGGCGCTGCGCACCCCCCCAGTTCTGCTGGACCTCCTCCTTGCTGCCTATCTGTTCCCTGCTGCTCTTGCCACACTGGAACAGATTAAGACGCAGGTAATCATGGCCTGGAGAGCCGTGTGGCTCTGCGCACCCCCCCAGTTCTGCTGGACCTCGTCCTTGCCGCCTATCTGGTCCCTGCTGCTCTTGCCACACTGGAACAGATTAAGACGCAGGTAATCATTGCCTGGAGAGCCGTGTGGCTCTGCGCACCCCCCCAGTTCTGCTGGAACTCCTCCTTACCGCCTATCTGGTCCCTGCTGCTCTTGCCACACTGGAACAGATTAAGACGCAGGTAATCATTGCCTGGAGAGCCATGTGGCTCTGCGCACCCCCCCAGTTCTGCTGGACCTCCTCCTTACCGCCTATCTGATCCCTGCTGCTCTTGCCACACTGGAACAGATTAAGACGCAGGTAATCATTGCCTGGAGAGCCGTGTGGCTCTGCGCACCCCCCCAGTTCTGCTGGACCTCCTCCTTGCTGCCTATCTGGTCCCTGCTGCTCTTGCCACACTGGAACAGATTAAGACGCAGGTAATCATTGCCTGGAGAGCCGTGTGGCTCTCTAGTCCCTGCTGCTCTTGCCACACTGGAACAGATTAAGACGCAGGTAATCATTGCCTGGAGAGCCGTGTGGCTCTGCGCACCCCCCAGTTCTGCTGGACCTCCTCCTTGCTGCCTATCTGGTCCCTGCTGCTCTTGCCACACTGGAACAGATTAAGACGCAGGTAATCATTGCCTGGAGAGCCGTGTGGCTCTCTAGTCCCTGCTGCTCTTGCCACACTGGAACAGATTAAGACGCAGGTAATTATTGCCTGGAGAGCCGTGTGGCTCTGCGCACCCCCCCAGTTCTGCTGGACCTCCTCCTTACCGCCTATCTGGTCCCTGCTGCTCTTGCCACACTGGAACAGATTAAGGCGCAGGTAATCATTGCCTGGAGAGCCGTGTGGCTCTGCGCACCCCCCCAGTTCTGCTGGACCTCCTCCTTGCCGCCTATCTGGTCCCTGCTGCTCTTGCCACACTGGAACAGATTAAGGCGCAGGTAATCATTGCCTGGAGAGCCGTGTGGCTCTGCGCACCCCCCCAGTTCTGCTGGACCTCCTCCTTGCCGCCTATCTGGTCCCTGCTGCTCTTGCCACACTGGAACAGATTAAGACGCAGGTAATAATTGCCTGGAGAGCCGTGTGGCTCTGCGCACCCCCCCAGTTCTGCTGGACCTCCTCCTTGCTGCCTATCTGGTCCCTGCTGCTCTTGCCACACTGGAACAGATTAAGACGCAGGTAATCATTGCCTGGAGAGCCGTGTGGCTCTCTAGTCCCTGCTGCTCTTGCCACACTGGAACAGATTAAGACGCAGGTAATTATTGCCTGGAGAGCCGTGTGGCTCTGCGCACCCCCCCAGTTCTGCTGGACCTCCTCCTTACCGCCTATCTGGTCCCTGCTGCTCTTGCCACACTGGAACAGATTAAGACGCAGGTAATCATTGCCTGGAGAGCCGTGTGGCTCTCTAGTCCCTGCTGCTCTTGCCACACTGGAACAGATTAAGACGCAGGTAATCATTGCCTGGAGAGCCGTGTGGCTCTGCGCACCCCCCCAGTTCTGCTGGACCTCCTCCTTGCTGCCTATCTGGTCCCTGCTGCTCTTGCCACACTGGAACAGATTAAGACGCAGGTAATCATTGCCTGGAGAGCCGTGTGGCTCTCTAGTCCCTGCTGCTCTTGCCACACTGGAACAGATTAAGACGCAGGTAATTATTGCCTGGAGAGCCGTGTGGCTCTGCGCACCCCCCCAGTTCTGCTGGACCTCCTCCTTGCTGCCTATCTGGTCCCTGCTGCTCTTGCCACACTGGAACAGATTAAGGCGCAGGTAATCATTGCCTGGAGAGCCGTGTGGCTCTGCGCACCCCCCCAGTTCTGCTGGACCTCCTCCTTGCCGCCTATCTGGTCCCTGCTGCTCTTGCCACACTGGAACAGATTAAGGCGCAGGTAATCATTGCCTGGAGAGCCGTGTGGCTCTGCGCACCCCCCCAGTTCTGCTGGACCTCCTCCTTGCCGCCTATCTGGTCCCTGCTGCTCTTGCCACACTGGAACAGATTAAGACGCAGGTAATAATTGCCTGGAGAGCCGTGTGGCTCTGCGCACCCCCCCAGTTCTGCTGGACCTCCTCCTTGCTGCCTATCTGGTCCCTGCTGCTCTTGCCACACTGGAACAGATTAAGACGCAGGTAATCATTGCCTGGAGAGCCGTGTGGCTCTCTAGTCCCTGCTGCTCTTGCCACACTGGAACAGATTAAGACGCAGGTAATTATTGCCTGGAGAGCCGTGTGGCTCTGCGCACCCCCCCAGTTCTGCTGGACCTCCTCCTTACCGCCTATCTGGTCCCTGCTGCTCTTGCCACACTGGAACAGATTAAGACGCAGGTAATCATTGCCTGGAGAGCCGTGTGGCTCTCTAGTCCCTGCTGCTCTTGCCACACTGGAACAGATTAAGACGCAGGTAATCATTGCCTGGAGAGCCGTGTGGCTCTGCGCACCCCCCCAGTTCTGCTGGACCTCCTCCTTGCTGCCTATCTGGTCCCTGCTGCTCTTGCCACACTGGAACAGATTAAGACGCAGGTAATCATTGCCTGGAGAGCCGTGTGGCTCTCTAGTCCCTGCTGCTCTTGCCACACTGGAACAGATTAAGACGCAGGTAATCATTGCCTGGAGAGCCGTGTGGCTCTGCGCACCCCCCCAGTTCTGCTGGACCTCCTCCTTGCTGCCTATCTGGTCCCTGCTGCTCTTGCCACACTGGAACAGATTAAGACGCAGGTAATCATTGCCTGGAGAGCCGTGTGGCTCTCTAGTCCCTGCTGCTCTTGCCACACTGGAACAGATTAAGACGCAGGTAATTATTGCCTGGAGAGCCGTGTGGCTCTGCGCACCCCCCCAGTTCTGCTGGACCTCCTCCTTACCGCCTATCTGGTCCCTGCTGCTCTTGCCACACTGGAACAGATTAAGGCGCAGGTAATCATTGCCTGGAGAGCCGTGTGGCTCTGCGCACCCCCCCAGTTCTGCTGGACCTCCTCCTTGCCGCCTATCTGGTCCCTGCTGCTCTTGCCACACTGGAACAGATTAAGGCGCAGGTAATCATTGCCTGGAGAGCCGTGTGGCTCTGCGCACCCCCCCAGTTCTGCTGGACCTCCTCCTTGCCGCCTATCTGGTCCCTGCTGCTCTTGCCACACTGGAACAGATTAAGACGCAGGTAATAATTGCCTGGAGAGCCGTGTGGCTCTGCGCACCCCCCCAGTTCTGCTGGACCTCCTCCTTGCTGCCTATCTGGTCCCTGCTGCTCTTGCCACACTGGAACAGATTAAGACGCAGGTAATCATTGCCTGGAGAGCCGTGTGGCTCTCTAGTCCCTGCTGCTCTTGCCACACTGGAACAGATTAAGACGCAGGTAATTATTGCCTGGAGAGCCGTGTGGCTCTGCGCACCCCCCCAGTTCTGCTGGACCTCCTCCTTACCGCCTATCTGGTCCCTGCTGCTCTTGCCACACTGGAACAGATTAAGACGCAGGTAATCATTGCCTGGAGAGCCGTGTGGCTCTCTAGTCCCTGCTGCTCTTGCCACACTGGAACAGATTAAGACGCAGGTAATCATTGCCTGGAGAGCCGTGTGGCTCTGCGCACCCCCCCAGTTCTGCTGGACCTCCTCCTTGCTGCCTATCTGGTCCCTGCTGCTCTTGCCACACTGGAACAGATTAAGACGCAGGTAATCATTGCCTGGAGAGCCGTGTGGCTCTCTAGTCCCTGCTGCTCTTGCCACACTGGAACAGATTAAGACGCAGGTAATTATTGCCTGGAGAGCCGTGTGGCTCTGCGCACCCCCCCAGTTCTGCTGGACCTCCTCCTTACCGCCTATCTGGTCCCTGCTGCTCTTGCCACACTGGAACAGATTAAGGCGCAGGTAATCATTGCCTGGAGAGCCGTGTGGCTCTGCGCACCCCCCCAGTTCTGCTGGACCTCCTCCTTGCCGCCTATCTGGTCCCTGCTGCTCTTGCCACACTGGAACAGATTAAGGCGCAGGTAATCATTGCCTGGAGAGCCGTGTGGCTCTGCGCACCCCCCCAGTTCTGCTGGACCTCCTCCTTGCCGCCTATCTGGTCCCTGCTGCTCTTGCCACACTGGAACAGATTAAGACGCAGGTAATAATTGCCTGGAGAGCCGTGTGGCTCTGCGCACCCCCCCAGTTCTGCTGGACCTCCTCCTTGCTGCCTATCTGGTCCCTGCTGCTCTTGCCACACTGGAACAGATTAAGACGCAGGTAATCATTGCCTGGAGAGCCGTGTGGCTCTCTAGTCCCTGCTGCTCTTGCCACACTGGAACAGATTAAGACGCAGGTAATTATTGCCTGGAGAGCCGTGTGGCTCTGCGCACCCCCCCAGTTCTGCTGGACCTCCTCCTTACCGCCTATCTGGTCCCTGCTGCTCTTGCCACACTGGAACAGATTAAGACGCAGGTAATCATTGCCTGGAGAGCCGTGTGGCTCTCTAGTCCCTGCTGCTCTTGCCACACTGGAACAGATTAAGACGCAGGTAATCATTGCCTGGAGAGCCGTGTGGCTCTGCGCACCCCCCCAGTTCTGCTGGACCTCCTCCTTGCTGCCTATCTGGTCCCTGCTGCTCTTGCCACACTGGAACAGATTAAGACGCAGGTAATCATTGCCTGGAGAGCCGTGTGGCTCTCTAGTCCCTGCTGCTCTTGCCACACTGGAACAGATTAAGACGCAGGTAATTATTGCCTGGAGAGCCGTGTGGCTCTGCGCACCCCCCCAGTTCTGCTGGACCTCCTCCTTACCGCCTATCTGGTCCCTGCTGCTCTTGCCACACTGGAACAGATTAAGGCGCAGGTAATCATTGCCTGGAGAGCCGTGTGGCTCTGCGCACCCCCCCAGTTCTGCTGGACCTCCTCCTTGCCGCCTATCTGGTCCCTGCTGCTCTTGCCACACTGGAACAGATTAAGGCGCAGGTAATCATTGCCTGGAGAGCCGTGTGGCTCTGCGCACCCCCCCAGTTCTGCTGGACCTCCTCCTTGCCGCCTATCTGGTCCCTGCTGCTCTTGCCACACTGGAACAGATTAAGACGCAGGTAATAATTGCCTGGAGAGCCGTGTGGCTCTGCGCACCCCCCCAGTTCTGCTGGACCTCCTCCTTGCCGCCTGGCTGGTTCCCGCTGCTCTTGCCATGCTGGAGCAGATCAAGGCGCAGGTAAGCACTGACTGCAGCAGCAGTGCCGAGCACGTGGCTCTGCACACTCCCCAATTCTGCTGGGCGCGCTCCTTTCTGCCTGGCTGGGAGGGGCACGTCCTCGTTGCCCTTCTCCGCGATCTGCATTGTGTTGTGATCACTGTACCAGCACTCTGCCTTTGCTCGTTGCATTCCGTGTGATGTGATGTGCCATGCGATGCCATCCGGTATGGCACTTTACTGTGCGGTGTGATGCGTTGCTGTGTGGTTTGATGCGCTACTGTGCGGTGTGATGCGTCGCTGTGCGGTAATGCAGGGCATGCAGGCTGCTAGCAATCAGATGCTGGGCATCTTTCGCCATGCTCTGACAGCCATGGGGGTCCTTGCCGCTGCTGCCCTCGCTCTAACCTGCTGGGAGGTACGTCCATCTCCTTTCTCTTCTTGGTCACCTCGTCCCCCATTCCCCCCTCAAATTTGAGGTGCCAAAAAAAAATCTCATTTTTTTGCATAAATGGTCTCATCATTTGAGGCGCCTTAACATTCCTCTCTTTCTTGGAGGTACGACCATCTCCGTTCTCTTCTTTGTTGCCTCGCTCCCCCCCTGCTCTTGCTCATCCTCTTTTTCCCATCTCTCCTCCCTGGGGTTTTTTTAGTCGACTAAAAACTCGGCTCATTCCACACCTTTTTTGTTCATCCTTGTTCTCCTGTTTCCTCCCAGCGTTTGCACCCACCTCTTCCCCTCTCATCCTCCCCTCTCATCCTCCCCTCTCATCCTCCCCTCTCATCCTCCCCTCTCATCCTCCCCTCTCATCCTGCCCTCTCATCCTCCCCTCTCATCCTCCCCTCTCATCCTGCCCTCTCATCCTCCCCTCTCATCCTGCCCTCTCATCCTCCCCTCTCATCCTCCCCTCTCATCCTCCCCTCTCGCTCTCTTGCACCATCGGGCCTACCTGAATCTTAGAGATCCCCTCAGCCTGCAACGGCAGAGCGAGTGGCTCATCATAGCAGCATGGCACCTCCTCTCCGTCAAATGTGGCCCCTGCCTTCCCGTATCCTCTCTTTCTTCTCACTCTCCCTGCTTCGCTTCTTCTCTCCCCCTCCCATGCACCAGGCCTACTTCAAGCTTTCAGACCCCCTCAATCTGCAGTGGCAGTGGGACTGGCTCATCACAGCTGCGTGGCACCTACTCTCCCTCCTCACCCTCGCATCCCTCTGCTTCCTCTGGAGCCCGTCCCGCTTCTCCTCCAGGTATGCGGCAGTCTGTCCTCCCTACTTCCTCCCTACTTTCTCCTTCCCACTTTTCCCTTCCTCCCTTGTCCTCCTCGCCCCCTTCCCTTCCTCACCCTCGCCCCCCCTTGCTTCCTCTGGAGCCCCTCCTGCCTCTCTTCCCTGTATGCGGCATTTTGTCCTTCCTGCTTTGACCCCCTCCCTCTCCTCCAGCACCTCCTCCCCCTCCTCCCCCTCCTCACCCTCGCCTCCCTCTGGAGCCCTTTCCACTTTTCCCCCCGATATGCTGCACCCTTCCCTTCCTACTCTGCCCTCTTCCCTCTCCTGCATCGCCTCTCTCTCTCCGTCCTCAACCTCGCCAGTCTGCTTCCTCTAAAGCCCTTGCCATTGTCTAACATCGTGCCATGTCTTCCCACGCCTTTCCTTCCTATGATCACCCCTTCGTTCTCCGTCTACTTTTTCTCCGGTGGCCTCGTTTTTTCTTGTGTTTCCTCCCTTGTTGTTTCGTATCGCTTTCCGTGCTTCTCTATCGCTTTTAGGCACGATGCATCAGTACAAGATGATCAGGCAATCGAGTCCCTGATGTCCTCCTAGCCGCTTCTCGCCTCACGAGTCAAGATTGGGGTTTCTAAGCGTAGAAGCTTGTTATGCATACCGCCCTTGTTAAAATTCCCGCGAGGTGTTTCCAAGGGTTATTGTAAGCCTGGTTGAACCAATTAGCAAGGCTAATCTTGCCGTATAACATCGTACAGCATTTTAAGCATCTATAACGACCTGTCCCATTCAGTAGTGTAGCAGCTGGGCAAACAAAAACTCCGCGTTACAAGCCCTAGAGAAATAAAGACCATAAATTCCAAGTTGCTAGCCCGCTACTGTCGAGTGTATTCTTCCCAGCCAGCCGTAAGCGCAAGCTACGCTAGCTTAGGTTAAACCGCGTCCGTTCGTACCTGCCTCCATCGCGTGACTGTAATCTAGAGGCGCGCGTGGCTATGGCGGAGGGCGGCCGTGGGCGGCACTATCGTCGGCGAGGCGACAGCGACAGTGGTAATAGCGATAGCGATAGTGGCAATAGCGGGAGCGCGCGACGACGGAACTCGGTATCCGACGACGAGCGAGATCAGCGGCGGGGCGATCGCGGGCGACGCGTGCGACGAAGATATTCGTCGGACGACGACGAGGAGGAGGAGGATAAACGGAGGGAAGAGGGGAAAGCGGGGAAGGGGAGGGAAAAGGTGAAAGAGGAGATGAGGAGGGAAAGCGGGAGAGGGAGAGGAGGAGGGGAATCGAGGCATGCGGATCGGCAACGAAGCGGGAAGCGTGGATCAGGCAGCGACGAGGAGGACGAGGAGGAGGAAGAGCGGGAGAGGAGACGCGGGCATAGGGCCTCTGGGGATGGGAGAAAGGTGAGGAGGAGCCGAGAGCCCGCAGGTGCGAGAAGCCGAAGCCCAAGCCGAAGCCCAAGCCGAGGCTCGGATTCGGACGAAGAGGAGGAGAGGGCGAGGAAGCGCGGGGATAGGGGCACTGGGGGTGGGAGAGGGAGGAGGAGGAGTCGGAGCAGGAGTGAGTCTGACTCGGAAGAGGAGAAGGCGCGGAGGCGGCGGAAAGGGGAGGAGGGGGATGGGGGAAGGCGAGGCGGAGCGAAGGGTGTGGGGGGACGAAGCGCGCATGTGAGGCGTAGCGGGAGTGACAGTAGCGAGGATGAGGATAACGAGGCGAGGCGGAGAAGGGTCAGAGACGCGGAGGACGAGGAGAGAAGGGAGAAGGTGGCGAGAGGGAACGACCCAAAGAGCAAATCCCGGACCGCCGATGCTGCTGGTGGTGCTTCTACTGCAAGCGCGTCTGTTTCTAAGGGGTCTACTGCTCGGTCAAAGCGAGACCAGGGCACCTTAAGTACAGCAGCGCTAGACGCAGCAGCAGCCTTTGCAGCAGAGGCAGTTAGAGCGGCTGCTGGCTTTGGCCCTCCCCCCAGCGGCGCTCCCCCGTCCCTCCCCCCTCCACCGCCCTTGCCCCCTTCCGCCTCCGCCCCCCCATCTCTCCCCCCGCCCCCCCCTCCCCCGCACTACCCCTTCTCCGCGCCTCCCCCTCCCCCCCTTGGCGGCCCCCCTATCCGCGCCGCTCCCCACGGTAGCGGGAATGGGGCGGCGGCAGGGGGGAGAGTGCTTGCTGACGTGGACAGGTCGGCGTCAGCGGGGCGTGTGATTGCTGAGGTGGACCGGTCGGCGTCGGGGGGGAGAGTTCTTGCTGACGTGGACCCCGAGACCCTGGAGGCCATGGAAGCAACGCAGAAGGCGCTTGAGGCGAAGGAGGGGGAGAAGAAGAAGGTGAGGTGGGGGGGGGGAAGAGAAGAGGGAGGGGGGGGGGGGGAGGGGGGTGTGTTGGTTGTTGGGGAAGGTGAGGGGGAAGGAGGGGGGAGGGTATGGGGGGAGAAGGAGGAGAGAGTGGAGACGACGTGAGGGATGAGAGAGATGAGGGGGGAGAGGGAAGAAGGTGAGGGGTGGAGAGAGTGTGAGGGGGGGGCGGGAGGATGGGGAACGAAGCAGGTGAGGAGTGGAGGGAGGCGATGAATATCGGGCGTTGAAAGGGGGGGGACATCAAACCTGGGCGGACGACCAAGTTAAGAGTGGGCAGAGCCGCAGAGGTATGGGGAGGGTCGATTAGCTGCTACTAGAGGGCAGCGACAGGAGAAGGAATCAAGTCAGGAGTCGAGGGCGGAAGGGGGGGGTGGAGCGGAGGGAGGGGGGGAAGAGAGAGGGGGGGGGGGGGGGGGGGGGGAGGACTAGGATTCGTGAGGGGAAACGAAGGCGAGTGCTGTAACCAATTTCAATCCTGTGGAAACCCTTTCCCCCTCCCTCCTTTCGCTCCCTTGCCCCGGCACTGCAGGCAGCACAACCGTCATTTGAGCTGTCTGGCAAACTGGCGGAAGAAACCAACCGCTTCAGAGGTGAGCTGGGTGGCAGGGGCAGTGGAAGTGGTGCGGGGGTGATGAGGGTGGGGGAAGAGGGTGGGGGGTGATGAGGGTGGGGGAAGAGGGTGGGGGGTGATGAGGGTGGGGGAAGAGGGTGGGGGGTGATGAGGGTGGGGGAAGAGGGTGGGGGGTGATGAGGGTGGGGGAAGAGGGTGGGGGGTGATGAGGGTGGGGGAAGAGGGTGGGGGGTGATGAGGGTGGGGGAAGAGGGTGGGGGGTGATGAGGGTGGGGGAAGAGGGTGGGGGGTGATGAGGGTGGGGGAAGAGGGTGGGGGGTGATGAGGGTGGGGGAAGAGGGTGGGGGGGGGGGAGAGGGTGGGTGAGGAGGGTGTGCAAGGCAGAGGTGGTTGGGAAGGTGAAGCTAATCTTGTTCAGCGCAACATCTTTATAAAGGGGACACCGGTTGACCTATTGGTACTACTACCACCTGCTATTTCCTGGCCCTTCTTCGTTCTGTTCACCCATCTGTTCCAATCACATGCTGCCAGGTGTCGCGCTGGTGTACAACGAGCCTACTGAGGCGCGCAAGCCCTCTATCCGCTGGCGGCTATATGTCTTTAAGGACGGGGAGCCCTTGAAAGGTAAAGCTTCAGCAATGGGCAGCTTTTAAAACATTTGTTTGATTTCCTCTGGTTGATGGTTCCACTGCCCATCAATAGTTGATTTGCGACGTACTATGTTTCGAAAGCTATTTGTTCGCACTATGTTTCGAAAGCTATTTGTTCGTACTATGTTTCAAAAGCTATTGTTCTTTGGACATAGTACCTGTGAGCAGCCGTGCGAGGGAGTAGGTTTGAGCAAGTAGGAAAAAACAGTTAAAAGTGAAGGTACAGTACCAGAAAAGTATTTTAGTAGCAAATCGGAGCCTGTCTTGTGAGCAAAGAGTGAATGATGGGACAAACATGTTTCTGCCGCAGCGCACACCCTAGCGAGCCTTCATCCGTGCATGCATTTGTGTGCGTGTGTATGAGTTTGTATGCGTGTGTATGTGTGTGTGTGCGTGGTGTGTGTGTGTGTCCGTGTGCATGCATGCTGGATTGTTGGTGCATGTGTGCATGTCCGAATGTGCTATCAGAGCCGCTGTACATCCATCGCCAGACGTGCTACCTCTTCGGACGGGAGAGACGGGTGAGTGATGATGGGGAAGAGGAACGGGGTGTATTGGGGGGGGGGATCAGAGCCCACGGAGGGAAAGAGGGGTGATGGCATCATCATGGCATCACGGCACAATGGCATCATGGTGTCCTAGCATCACAACATCCTAGCATCACTATCGTAGCATCACAACATCCAGCATCACTATCATAGCATCACAACATCCTAGCATCACTATCATAGCATCACAACATCCAGCATCACTATCATAGCATCACAACATCCTAGCATCACTATCATAGCATCATGTCACCATGGCATCATGTCACCATGGCATCATGTCACCATGGCATCATGTCACCATGGGATCATGTCACCATGGCATCATGTCACCATGGGATCATGTCACCATGGCATCATGTCACCATGGCATCATGTCACCATGGCATCATGTCACCATGGCATCATGGCATCATGGCATCATGTCACCATGGCATCATGGCATCATGGCACCATGGCATCATGTCACCATGGCATCATGTCACCATGGCATCATGTCACCATGGCATCATGTCACCATGGCATCATGTCACCATGGCATCATGTCACCATGGCATCATGTCACCATGGCATCATGTCACCATGGCATCATGGCATTATGAAGTCGCACTGCAGGTTCTGTTGGAAACGTGAGGATGGAATCAACACTGGCTCTATTGTCTCCTGACAACACATTCAACCACAGCCACTCTTCTATCCTGTTGGGTTGTTCCCAGGAATCTGGGGTTCAGAACAATGGGAACCCATCTTCTATGTTCCGTTGTTAATTCTGCAACAAGGTTCCCCACGTGTTCAACACAGCGCCATCTGTGTTTCCATGTGATGTCTGTAATTTTGCTTACAGGTTGCAGATGTGCCAACAGACCATCCCTCCTGCAGCAAGCAGCATGCAGTCATCCAATTCCGGTGAGCAAAATGTGCCATGTCTGTGGGTGGTCTATTCTGGTCGGAGCTCCATGTCACCCTGCTGCCAGCTGGACAGCAGACCATCCCTCCCTCCTGCAGCAAGCAGCATGCATTCATCCCATTCCGGTGAGAGTAGAGTAGTGGTTGCTCGATTCTGGTCGCTTTGGATTGCTCTGCTTTGGGGCATGATTTCTTGTACATCTTTTTAAATATATTTCTGGATTCAGCAAACCTTGTACCTCTGCACTTCTCCCCTCCTTCGTCTCCCCCCCTCCCTTATTCCATTCCATTGTGTATGTATATCGTTGGGATGGGCGATCCACTTCTGCCTATTCATGGCGAGCGATGGGTTGCATCATCATTTCGCATCACCTTATTTCATCCCCTCTCGTGCCATCTCATCACCTCCCCTGCGTCTAACTCTTGCCATGCCAGCCTGGTGGACAAGGAGGAGCCGAGTGGCGAGGTGACGGCTCTTGTGAGGTGAGGGGATGGATGGCATCGCATGTCAGGTGAGGTAGGTGCATGCAAAGAACGCATTGGCAGTGAGTGCAGCAGCCGTCCCATGGCAGCCTGGTGGACAGGGAGAAGCCCAGTGGAGAGATGACTTCCCTCGTGAGGTGAGGGGGTGCCATTTCTTGGAGAGTGGGGAGGTAGTAGCGGGGTGAGGATGGCTCTGTAAGGAGGGCAAGGAGGAGCCCAGTGGCGAGATGGCGTCCCTTGTGAGGTGAGGGGATGGCATTGCTTGTCCAGTGTGGTAGGTTGGCTCTGCATTGCCAATCAAGCTGCCGTCCCATGCCAGCCTGGTGGACAAGGAGGAGCCGAGTGGAAGATATGGTAGGGTGAGGGTCGCTGCTGTGCTTGCCAACTTTTTTCTTGGTTAACGCATGGAGGGAATTTATTATGGTGCAGCCACGCTTGCCAATGCTCTGTTGAGTCTACTGCAAGTCACCGCGTTACGATGTAGTGCATGGAGGGAAGCTGTGGCTTCTTGTACTCCATCAAATCTCATCAGACCACATCCAACCGCATCAAATTGCATCGAACCTCATTCTTCCTCGTCCAACTGCACCTGCATGAAGCTCATTTCCTTCCATAGCTTTTTCCTCTCACGGTTCTTCTATCCTTCCTCCCATCCTCCCTCCCACCCTTCGCCCCTCCCTCTATCGCTCCTCTTCTCCCCTCGCAGGCCCTATGTCATGGACCTAGGCAGCACCAACGGCACTTTCCTCAATGTAAGGCACCACTGTGGTGTGGTGCGGTGTGGTTTGGTGTGGTGTGGTGTGGTGTGGTGTGGCATGGCATGGGAATTAGATAACGGCACAGGGTATGCGTGAATCGTATGGACCTTGGCAGCTCAAGTGGCGGTTTTTGCAGTGTGATGTGTGACGTTGTTTGGCAACAAGTTTGGCAGCAGTTCGGCCCATCCTCAAGCACCTCACTATTAAAAAACAGCCCCGTTTGGCTGGCTGCCCATGTCTCTCTGTCTGCCCTCTGTTTCCCTGCAGGGGTCACGATTGTGCAGGGTGTTTTTGAGAATTCTCAAAAACTCCCTGCACAACCCGTTTGGCTGGCTGCCCCTGTCTCTCTGCCCGCCCTCCTTTTCCCTGCAGGGGTCTCGAACGTCTCAGCCTTCTTGTGGGCTGGTTGCGAAGGACGCTGTCGGATTTTGCATCACTTCTGCTCTCGGTTTTCCCTCTATGCCTGTCTCTCCCTTGCACTGCCTGCAGGGGTGCGGCATCGACTGCGAGCTCATGGAAATGAGCACATCGTGGTTTGGGAACACAACTCAACTCACTCGTGAGTTCTGAGTTGGCTCACAACTCAATGCATCCTCCACCATTCCCTCCCCCCCCCCTCCCCCCTTCTCCCCCCACTCCCCTTCCCCCATCCTCTGAACCTGAAGGGATCGCGCATTGACGCACAGCGGTACTACGAGCTGATGGAGAAGGACACGTTGAAGCTTGGCAACGGACCATGTTCTGAGGCACCTTGAAGCAGCACTGTATGTCTGCCCCCCCGTCTGTCCTCAACTGCCCTGCAGGGGTCGCGCATCGACGCACAGCGGTACTACGAGCTGATGGAGAAGGACACGTTGAAGCTTGGCAACGGACCATGTTCTGAGGCACCTTGAAGCAGCACTGTATGTCTGCCCCCCCGTCTGTCCTCAACTGCCCTGCAGGGGTCGCGCATCGACGCACAGCGGTACTACGAGCTGATGGAGAAGGACACGTTGAAGCTTGGCAACGGACCATGTTCTGAGGCACCTTGAAGCAGCACTGTATGTCTGCCCCCCCGTCTGTCCTCAACTGCCCTGCAGGGGTCGCGCATCGACGCACAGCGGTACTACGAGCTGATGGAGAAGGACACGTTGAAGCTTGGCAACGGACCATGTTCTGAGGCACCTTGAAGCAGCACTGTATGTCTGCCCCCCCGTCTGTCCTCAACTGCCCTGCAGGGGTCGCGCATCGACGCACAGCGGTACTACGAGCTGATGGAGAAGGACACGTTGAAGCTTGGCAACGGACCATGTTCTGAGGCACCTTGAAGCAGCACTGTATGTCTGCCCCCCCGTCTGTCCTCAACTGCCCTGCAGGGGTCGCGCATCGACGCACAGCGGTACTACGAGCTGATGGAGAAGGACACGTTGAAGCTTGGCAACGGACCATGTTCTGAGGCACCTTGAAGCAGCACTGTATGTCTGCCCCCCCGTCTGTCCTCAACTGCCCTGCAGGGGTCGCGCATCGACGCACAGCGGTACTACGAGCTGATGGAGAAGGACACGTTGAAGCTTGGCAACGGACCATGTTCTGAGGCACCTTGAAGCAGCACTGTATGTCTGCCCCCCCGTCTGTCCTCAACTGCCCTGCAGGGGTCGCGCATCGACGCACAGCGGTACTATGAGCTGATGGAGAAGGACACGTTAAAGTTTGGCAACAGCAGCCGGGAGTATGTGCTGTTGCACGAACACTCAGCAGGCTAGTGCTTGGTGCCCTTCACATTTTCATGTCGACTTCAAGTCAGCCTCCAGGGTTAACAAACGGGCTGAAACGGCTGGTACCAGCAGCTGGGACTACTGTATGTGCCGCTGCACAAGTACTCCACTGGGTAGTGCTTGGTGCCATGCCATATAACCACTCGACAGGCGAATCAGGTTGGTTAGTCAGGAGAATATGCTAACTTGCTGTGATCGATAACTAGGCTGGTGCGGCTTGAGGCTGACAAGGCACAGCAGGTGGCTGCTACGCTGATGTTTTGTTCTCCGTTGATTTGTTGGTTGCTAGGCTGTTGTCTGTGTTGGGCTGAGAAAAACCCTTTGGGATCTTTTGCAGAGACTAAGTCCCAGCTGTAAAGACTTGAGACTTGGAGTAGTGCAGCGGAAGTTGAGGTAGTTGAACCCTTGTACTAGTATGTGAGAACAAGTGATTGATTAAAGAAACAAGCATACAGCAATATATAGTAGATGAGAAAGCAGTTGTAGAATACAGTTACAGGAACGGTTTATCGAGTCGCACAGCGACTCGATTGCCGCTTTGGTTACCATCCGTGATGTTGTAACGGTCAGTCGCAACCTCCAGTTGCGACCTTTCGAGTCCTTTCGCATTCTTTGTCCGCCCCCTCGTGTAACCTCCGTTGACTCGCGTGCTCCCCTGTAATCTTCCTCGAGTACAGTGTTACACTTCAGAAACGCTTAAGTCCTTGAGATATTTCCAACACTCCCCTTCGTTTCTGGAGTGCTGGAGTGTTCAGATCCGGTGGCGTTTGTTTGCCCGGTTAGGAGCATGCAGTAGTCGAATTTTGCTTTCGCCAATTTCTTCGTCAGATAATCTGCGGCCATTTCTGTCGTCGGGCAGTAACTGAGTTGAAGTCTCCCCTTCGCGATTTCATCCTTGACGAAGAAGTACCGCAGGGCGATGTGCTTGGTTCGATTGGCGAAGCCGTCCTTGTTCGCGATTTTGATCGCAGATTGGTTGTCGCAGAGGAGTGAGAAGGCGGGCAGGGTCGCGATCTTCGCTTCTTCGAGTAACTCTCGTAGGTAGAGTCCTTCCTTGGTCGCAGTACAAAGGGCGATATACTCTGCTTCAGCCGAGGATAGTGCGATTAACTCCTGCTTGCTCGACTGCCAGGAGATAGTTCCGATAGGTTCTAGTCGGTAGATGTAGCCCGTCCTAGACCGTCGATTTTCGCTGTCTCCCGCGTGGTCGGCGTCGACGTATCCGAGTAGTCGTACGGACGGTGTTGTTGCCTTGCTGTAGGTAAGCCCGATCGTCGGCGTGGAGACGAAGTAGAGTAGCGCTCGATTGAGTTCTTCGAGATCTTCCTGTTGCGGATGCTTCAGATGTGTCGCCAGCTGACTCGCACTATAGGATAGGTCGGGTCGGCAGGTTACTGCTGCGAATAGTAGGCAGCCGAGCTTCTGTTGATACTCCTGGATTTGTTTCGCGGGGAGTTTTGTAGAGGCGCTGCCGTTGTTCCCGTAGCGGTAGGGAGTTGGGACCGCAGTCGGTGTTAGAGCGAATTTCTTCGCGACGGTGCTTGAGTACTTTCCAGCGTATAGGTAGAACGCCGTGTCGTCTTCGACGACGTTCAGTCCTAGGTACTGCGTAACTTCGTCGGACACCGTGAGAGTTAAATCTTCTTTCAGCTCCCCTTCGAACCAGGTGGCGATGTCGGTAGTTGAGCCGATGTAGAGCAGGTCGTCGACGTAGACGATGAGCAGAACATACTCTCTTCCCTTCTGCAGTCGGTACATCCCTTGGTCATGCGGCAGCTGTAGGAAGCCGATTTTTACGAGACGGCTGTGAAGATGCTGCTGCCAGAGCCGCGGGGCTTGCTTGATCCCGTATAGGGATTTTGTCAGTCGGCATATTTTCGTGGGGTCGTCGATGAATCCGTGGGGTTGTTCGACGAAGATCTCAGCGTCCACAGGTGCGTATAGGAACGCATTCGCGACATCGATTTGGCGTAGTGGTAGTGTTTTTGTGGCCGCGACGGCGAGTAGGATGCGTAATGAGGTGTGACGGGAGACTGGGGCGAAGGTTTCTGTGTAGTCGGTTCCGTATCGTTGATCGAAGCCTCGTACGACCCATCGAGCTTTGAATCGTTCGATGGAGCCGTCTGAGTTGGTCTTGATGCGGTACACCCATTTCCCCGAGAGAACGTTCTTCCCGTTGATGCTCGTTGCAGGTACCAGTTTCCATGTTTCTCGGTCTTGCAGAGCTTTTAACTCCTTTTCCATCGCTTCTTTCCATTTTGCCTTATGTTCCCCCCCCAGAGCCTGCGACAAGGTTGAAGGCTCACGCGTAGAAGGCGGCGGTGGATGCTGGACGGAGACCCAGAGGCCTAGAATCTGGAGTCCCGTGGGTGTGTGTCGAGGGGAATTGTCATTCCCGGAATAAGCTGCTTCGTCACCGTCTTCGGGGTCAGGTAAGAAATTGGGGCCGATGCGTTCCGAAATATTCGTGTCGACGGGGTGCGGTGTAGCGTAACCTTGGTCGGCGAAGTGGTAAAAGGTGTCGAGGTTGTTGCTATCGAGGGGATTATCTTCATCGAGTGGAACAGGTATGGAACAGAATGGGAGTGGCCCGGCAGCTTCCGAGGCTCCAGGTACGTCTTCTTCTGCTGCGTCAGCCTCGGCAGCATGGTCAGCGAAGGAGCGAAGGCCCGCGAAGCCGTCGGTGGGGTCGTCTGAGTTGGCAATGTTGTCCAGGTAATGCTGCAGCGTCAGTCGCTCGTAGAAGATAACATCACGTGATGCCACCGTATTTTTGTCTTGTATGTCGAGGATCTTCCACGCGTGAAAATGTTTGGCGATGCCGAGGTGTAGTCCCCACCGAGCTCGTTGAGTGAAGCGTCCTGCTTGAGCTGTGTGGGGTCTGTATTGTACCATGCAGCCGAAAACTCTAAGTAATTTTGTGCTGCCCCTTTTTCCCGTCCACAGCAGGTGTGGTGATGCGTTGTTGGGGAGCGATGACGAGGACAACAGGTTGTGCAGGTGGACTGCATGTGTCATCGCGTCTGGCCACAGTGCGTTGGGCAGCCTCATCCCCAGAAGCAGTTTTCGCATCGTCGTCTGCAAGGTCCGGTTCATGCGTTCTGCTACTCCCTGCTGCTGGTGAGCATAGGGCAGAGACACCAGGCGTCGGATTCCCCTTTCCGCGAGATAGGTCCTGAAGCGTTGTGACTGGTATTCCAGTGCACCGTCTGACTGGAAACTCTTGAGTTTGGTTCCTGACTCTCGTTCGGCAATTGGAAGCCATGTGGTGAATGCCTCGAAGGCTTGATCGCGCGTTTTGAGATTGAAGTGCCAGACGTATCTGGTTGCGGCGTCGATGAACGTGATGACGTAGTTGAAGTCGGCTTCGGTGTCGTCTCGAGGCATGTTTAGAATATCGCTGTAGACCTTTTCCATCGGAGCGTAAGTGGGTGCGCTTGGATTGTGATGGGCTGGGAAAGGTTGATGAGGAAGATCTGCTTCGGGGCATGTGAAACACCGTGCGCGTGGTCGTCGGAGTTCCTGGCCGCTCGTCGTCAGAAGGGCGTTGCGTTCTAACACTTCTGCTTGGATTGTTTGAAGTATCGTGCTGTTTGCAGGATGTCCGAGACGTTGGTGCCAGATGTCGTCGGGAGCGCGGTGACCGGGCGAGCGGTGGTAGATGTCGGCGTTGGAGAAGAACGCGACGACCGAGGCGGGACTTCGACAAGCTTCTCGTGTGGCGGGCATAAGTTGGTCTGCTTCGGTTGGCTGTCCTCGTGTCGCTGGTGGTGGTACTCGGCTGGGTCCTGCTGCCGATACTGCAGGTGATGGTTTTGTTGGGACACATGCGGGTACTTGTCTTTCTTGTCTGATAACTGCTAATGCTCGTGTTCTTTCTGCTGCAGGTATGGTGTTGGAGTGCCAGAAGCCGTCGCTGTCGAAGTCGGGATCAAGATCTGGCGGATGAGTCCAGGCGGCGAAGGATACGATACCGTCGCTGTCGGCAGTTCCGCGGTCGGGGACGAAGTCCAACACGAAGACACCGGACTTCAGGAGGGCACGACCGATGAAGAGACCGCCCTTCCCGTGGTAAAGTCGGAACTCGTTGGAGAAGGAGTCGCACTCCAGGTGAATCCCCTTAGCCATTAGTTGGCTTACGCTTAATAGGTTGTATCCCAGATTGTCGACGATGAGGACCTTGTTGAGCTGAAGAATAACGTTTGTCTCCATTGATTGTAACTGAACCACGCCTTGTCTATTTGTTTTCAGGTTTTCGTTGTTGGCGACGGTGATGACGACGTCACGGTTGAGGCGTCGCTCGTGTTGTACGAAGCGTCCGGAGGAGCACATGTGCTGACCGCAGCAACTGTCCAAGAACCAGGTGTTCCGCCCGGTGGGTTCGGCGTTAGCGACTGCAGCGTATGTCGGGTTGACCTGAAGTCCTTGCGAGCGCGGCGGCGGGAATTCCTCTTCGTCTGGTGCGTAAGTGGGTGGTGAAGCGGGTGCGCAGTTGTCGATGTGTACCATGCAGTTGATGATGTTGGGTGTTTGTTGTGCAGATGTTGAAGAGCGCCTTGGAGGACTTGCTTGAGTGGAAGCGACTTGTGGGTCTGCTGCACGGTAAACGCGAGGGCGGTTGCAGTTGACCTTGGAGTGCCCGGAAGTCTGACAGTTGTGGCAGAACGGCGGCACGATGGTGAGTCCTCGGTTGTCGCGTTGATCTTGCTTGCTGCGTCGGTTGTAGTTGTTGTCATTTCTTCTTTGAGTGTAGAAGACTAACTGCTGTTGCTTCCTTGGTTGTCTTTCCTCGAACAGATCCATCTCCTGTTGTTCAGCGTGAAGCTCGGCGCAGAGGTGCATCTCCGAAATTCTTCCGTGGGCTCGAAGAAGTGATCGTGTGGTTCTCCATTCTGGCCCGAGCCCGGCGAGGACAAGTGTCACGAAGCTTTCTTCAGTGATCGTTCCTCCGCACCGAAGCAGGCGGTCGCGGAGGGTCTGGCAGCGACTCATATACTGCATCGCCTTTTCCCCGGTCTTCATCTGTATTGTTGTCAGCTGTTGCATGAGTCTGCTTTGTGTCACGCTGTCGTTTGCTTGGTAAAGGCATTTGAGGTGGTGCCATGCGAGCTCCGCGGAGTTTCCATAACTCCGATACGTTCTGATGCTCTGCTGCTCTTGTGGTGACAGGTTTCTCAGGAGTACCGTGTACGCCAGCAGCGACTGATACGTGAAGATCTCTTGTTCCTTCCCAGTGCCGTTGCTTGGGAATGGCAGGGACCCGTTGAAGTATCCCAGAAGATGCGCGGCCTCCATCAGCAGCTCGAACTCGAAGCTCCAGGTAAAGAAGTCGTGTCCGTTGAACGGTGAGGATGTCTGAAGTTTGATCACGTGTGAGAACTGCGCCTGTAAACTTAAGATTTCATTCGGTGTTTGTTGTGAAGCAGCTGCTGTTGGCTGGGCACGGGGCGGCATGAATTCGAACGTCCCCGGCGAAGAATGATAAGGCGCAAAGGTAGGCGCTTGATTGTGTCGCCCGAAGGATGAGTTGTCGAGGCTCATCGGCGCTAATCCCATATTCCCTCCATTGCTCTGTGTTGAGTGCGCAGGTGTCCTTGTCTGCTGCTGCTGATCGAAGTGTGACATGAAGCTGAAGAATCTCTCCATGAGATTCGGGTCCACACTTGAAGAGGGAGACGGGGTCACCATCTCTGGTACTCTTCCCGTTGTTTCTTGAGCAGTCCCGGTCTCTGTCTGCAGTCCTGAGGTGTGCAGACCAGAGTTGCCGTGTTGAGTTTCTTGGGCGCTGGGTGAGCCCGTAGAGACTTTCTTGCCCTTGTTGTCCATGTCTTGTAATCAATGAAGTCGTTGAATTGAGTTGAGTTGCAGGTTGTTGATAGGACGTAGTTGCTGGGAGTTTGGTCTCTGACCAGCTCTCATACCATGTTGGGCTGAGAAAAACCCTTTGGGATCTTTTGCAGAGACTAAGTCCCAGCTGTAAAGACTTGAGACTTGGAGTAGTGCAGCGGAAGTTGAGGTAGTTGAACCCTTGTACTAGTATGTGAGAACAAGTGATTGATTAAAGAAACAAGCATACAGCAATATATAGTAGATGAGAAAGCAGTTGTAGAATACAGTTACAGGAACGGTTTATCGAGTCGCACAGCGACTCGATTGCCGCTTTGGTTACCATCCGTGATGTTGTAACGGTCAGTCGCAACCTCCAGTTGCGACCTTTCGAGTCCTTTCGCATTCTTTGTCCGCCCCCTCGTGTAACCTCCGTTGACTCGCGTGCTCCCCTGTAATCTTCCTCGAGTACAGTGTTACACTTCAGAAACGCTTAAGTCCTTGAGATATTTCCAACAGTCTGGGTTTATGTTCACTTCTATTGCAGCAAGTTCATTGCTAGAACTGCAAATTCTAAGTACATTGAAGTGGTTGCCATTCATGTATAGTTCCACTTGGCGGGTGTGGGCTTTCTACAGCTGTGGTGGAGGAATGTGGTGTGGGCGCGTGTTGCACTCGTTCGGCAAAATCGAGGTCGGGAGAGCCACTCGTTCCGATTTCACTCCCTTCCAGGTGTACAACACCAACCAATAGCATTGATAACATTCTACGGCTCAGCTTGGGCTCCACCACACACAACTTGTTGTTCGGCACTCCGAATCGGCGAATACGGATTCGCGGAACTTCGAGCACTCTCGACTGCTCCCGCCTAAATATTATGTCGGGCAAGCACTTGGACCACGGCGACTAGACTCAAGCGCTTCTTGTTTGTGAAAGTGAGAAGCTTCGGCCTAGCGGATCCTGCGTCCTGCAGCATCGGAAAGTTGGTATGTAATATAGAATTTCTTGACTTGAACTTCCGTCCCGTCTTGTTCCTCCGTTCAGCAACCACTAGCTGAAGGGATTCTAGTGTAGGGGGCCTACTAAATCGCCTGCGTCACGCACGAGCCCGACTTCCAGTCCCAGTTCTGCTGCACCATGAATTTAATGCCGTTGAGCCCCACCATATTGTACTCCGCGTCCCGACCTTAGATGTTTTACAGTTTTCGTATCTCCCGACCTACGACCACAACAGTTGCCCACAACAGTCCCATGAAATTGTATTTTATTTGTGTTGCGTATGTTGTCCGGCGGGGTGTGAAAAGTCGTCAAACAGTAGTACTCACGTGGGAGCAGCTAGCCTGTTATACAAAGTACATGCCTACAGGGTTTTCCAACTTGAAGTGCAGCTACGAACTTCATACCCCCACATCCGAAATCTGATCTAACAAATGACAGGGTACTGTAATGGCACACATGACATGAGCGTGGTGCTTTCTTCCTGCCACATTACTTCCCCACACGGTACACCTCCCAGAATCATGCTGTCTGCGCTCCAATTTTCGTGATGGCAGTGTCATTGAGGTTTGCGTGCTCCAGGCCATATCTCTTGAGCACCTGGTTGTCCGCAAAGGCGTACGCGCTGAGGGGATCGTGTGGGAGCATAGAAGAGAGGAGACGGAGTAGGTCAGGGGAAGGAAGCACCGACTACAGGCTCCACGACATACCTCGTGCGCATCTGGTTGCCCACAAAGGCGCATGCACCAAGGGGATTGTGAAGGAGCGGAATAGAGAGAAGGGTGGACGAAAGGGGAGGAGGAAAGAGTAAGGCATGCATGCTCCAGGCCGTATCTCTTGAGCAACAGAAACGAGTGAAGGGAGGGGATGACATGGAAGTGGGAGGAGAGCGGGGGAGAGAAAGGCCTATTTGGCAAATGGAAAAAGGCATGCTCCAGACCATATCTCTTGAGCGCCTGGTTGTACAAGACAAGACGCAGTCCCTCCCGCAATACATGCAGACCTCCCACTCTATCCTCCACCCACCAGTGGATGCTGTGGTCACTCACACGTCTCGGCGTCATAATCCGTGAACTTGTGATCGCAAGGCCCGCACCTCGTGAAGTGCAATCTCGCTTGCAGTACTTGCAAACCTCCCCCCCACCTAAAGCTCCCCATCTGTGAACTTGTGGTCGCACAGCCTGCACCTCGTGAAGTGCACAGGGAATGCCTCTATCTCTCTTATAGTACATGCATGCCTCGACGCCACCTTACACTCACCGGTGAATGCCACGGTCACACGTCCCAATATCATAATCCATTAACTTCCAACCACACAGCTTGCACCCCATGTGAGTGCGTCGCGAAGGCTCCAACTACTCTCACAGTACCTGCAAACCCCTTCTGCACCCCCCACTCACCGGTGGATGCTGCGGTCGCACGTCTCAAGATCATAATCAGTGAAACTGCGATCGCACAGCTTGCACCACATGTGAAGTGCATCGGGAGGACTCCTACTCCCCTCACAGTGTGAGTATCGCCACCCTACATCCCACTCACCGGTGGATTCCACGGTCGCACGTCTCGGGGTCGTAGTCAGTGAACTTGCGGTCGCACAGCTTGCACCCGGTGAAGTGCACCGTGAAAGGCCACTCCCAGTCCCCGACGCCGTTGTGGTACTTGGACTGGATCTTCTCCAGCCTGATGGGGAGGTGCAGGGAGGAAAAGGGAGGATAAGAGGAGGATGGGAGAGAGGGGAGGTGAAACGAGGATGATGAGAGAGCGTGTAAATGCACAGCGAAAGGCCACCGCCAGTCACCCTTGCCGTTGTGGTACTTGGACTGAATCTGCTCCAGCCTGAAGGGGAAGGGGTGAGGCGAGGGGATGGAAAGAGGGGAAGCACGAGGGGTATAGGTGGAGTCCAGGTGCGTCGGGGGGCCCAGCGGTCAGCAAGAAAGTAGGCGCCTAGTGGACGGTGGGTGAAGTGCAACGTGAACGGCTTTCAGTCTCCCAGTGCCAATGAGTATAAGGTCCAGGTGCGTGCGTGTGGCCCAGCGGTCCGCCAGAGGTTTGAGCCCCCCATATTTAACGGCTAACCTCCCTGCAGCCCAGTGCGAGCTGTATCAATGCACTCACTTGTCTAGGAACCCGTGCAAGGAGTGTCCAGGTGCGTGCGAGGGGCCCAGCGGTTTGCTAACGGTTTGAGCCCTAAGTGTAACAGCTAACCTCAAAACCGCCCGGTCTGAGTCCTATCAATGCACTGAGTTGTGGACAATGATGCCCCAGAAGCCATGGAGGGTACACGTGGGGTCCAGGCCATGTGGGTGCGAGGGGCCCAGTGGCCGGCCAGTGACCTTGGTGCCTGCCCCGTTGCTACAGCCTTATCCCCTTTCAGGCACTCAGGCACTTACTTGTCAACGAAGATCCCCCAGAAGCCATGGAGGGTGTAGGTGGGGTCCAGGTGCATGCGAGGGGCCCAGCGGTCCGCCAGCGGCTTGAGCCCCTTGGCCTTGTCGTCGGGCTTCTCGCCCTCCCCAGTGATCATCAGCACCAGCGCCGTCTGGTCGTCCGCCGGCCAGTTCTTGCGTTTCTGTCAAGGGGAGCGATTATAACGAGGACAAGAGAGTGTCAGAGGGGTGGGAGAGAGGGAAAGCGGCATGAGCCGCTTGGCCTTGTCTTGGGGCTTCTCGCCCTCCCCTGTCAGCATCAGCACCAGAGCCGTCTGGTCGTCCGCCGGCCAGTTCTTGCGCTTCTGGTGGGGGCGGTTAAGGGGAGTGAGAGAGTGATTAGGACAGGGAACTAGGAGGGGAAGGAAAGAGAGAGGAAGAGCAGGGGGAGAAGCGAGGGAAGGAGGGAGCGAGGGAGACAGCATGGAGAGGAACGGAACAGGGCGCTCGTTCCGTTGGTCACACTTGTTTTTTCAGAGTGAAAAGGCTAGCCCTTGCATTCTCTCCCCATACCTTACCAGTCAGAAATGGTCAACTTAGCTACACAGCCTGTGCTCCACTAGTATCACCTGAGGCACTCTGCTGGTATCACCTGAGGCACTCTGCTTTGATCAACTTTTTGACCACTCTGCTGTTGTCACCTGAACCACTCTGCTGTAATCACCTGAACCATCTCCCAGCAATCACCTGAAGCACCCTGCTGGCTATCTCCCCCCACTTGACTGTGACCTTCTCCGAGTACCCGTACTGCCCCCAGTCGTCCAGAAAGTCAATCCCGTCCTGTGGGGGGAGAGAACACGGCAGGTGCCAAGGGGTGCAGATGGGTGCAGAGGGGTGCAGACGGGCTTAAGAGGGTGAATGGCACATGGAAGCAAGGCAGTGGCACCCCGTACTGCCCCCAGTCGTCCAAAAAGTCAAGCCCGTCCTGATGCAAGGGAGGCATGCAAGAGGGATGCAAGGGAGGCATGCAAGAGGCATGCAAGGGAGGCGTGCAAGAGGGATGCAAGGGAGGCATGCAAGAGGCATGCAAGAGGCATGCAAGAGGCATGCAAGAGGCATGCAAGGAGGCATGCAAGAGGCATGCAAGGGAGGCATGCAAGAGGCATGCAAGGGAGGCATGCAAGAGGCATGCAAGGGAGGCATGCAAGAGGCATGCAAGGGAGGCATGCAAGAGGCATGCAAGGGAGGCATGCAAGAGGCATGCAAGGGAGGCATGCAAGAGGCATGCAAGGGAGGCATGCAAGAGGGATGCAAGGGAGGCATGCAAGAGGGATGCAAGGGAGGCATGCAAGAGGCATGCAAGGGAGGCATGCAAGAGGCATGCAAGGGAGGCATGCAAGAGGCATGCAAGAGGCATGCAAGAGGCATGCAAGGGAGGCATGCAAGAGGCATGCAAGGGAGGCATGCAAGAGGCATGCAAGGGAGGCATGCAAGAGGCATGCAAGGGAGGCATGCAAGAGGCATGCAAGGGAGGCATGCAAGAGGGATGCAAGGGAGGCATGCAAGAGGGATGCAAGAGGCATGCAAGAGGCATGCAAGAGGCATGCAAGGGAGGCATGCAAGAGGCATGCAAGGGAGGCATGCAAGAGGCATGCAAGGGAGGCATGCAAGAGGCATGCAAGGGAGGCATGCAAGAGGCATGCAAGGGAGGCATGCAAGAGGCATGCAAGGGAGGCATGCAAGAGGCATGCAAGGGAGGCATGCAAGAGGCATGCAAGGGAGGCATGCAAGAGGGATGCAAGGGAGGCATGCAAGAGGGATGCAAGGGAGGCATGCAAGAGGCATGCAAGGGAGGCATGCAAGAGGCATGCAAGGGAGGCATGCAAGAGGCATGCAAGAGGCATGCAAGAGGCATGCAAGGGAGGCATGCAAGAGGCATGCAAGGGAGGCATGCAAGAGGCATGCAAGGGAGGCATGCAAGAGGCATGCAAGGGAGGCATGCAAGAGGCATGCAAGGGAGGCATGCAAGAGGCATGCAAGGGAGGCATGCAAGAGGCATGCAAGGGAGGCATGCAAGAGGCATGCAAGGGAGGCATGCAAGAGGCATGCAAGGGAGGCATGCAAGAGGCATGCAAGGGAGGCATGCAAGAGGGATGCAAGCGGGGGATGCAAAGAGAGATTCAGACAGCACAAGGAGAGGCGGTTGGTAACCACAATGGCGGCAGCTGGTAACCAGAAGGGGAGTAGGGAGACATTAAAAGGTGACAGCATGGCAGCAGCTGGTGACCAGGGGATATGGTAACCACAATGGCAGCAGCTGGTAACCAGGGGATATGGTAACCACAATGGCAGCAGCTAGTAACCAGGGGATGTGGTAACCACAATGGCAGCAGCTGGTAACCACGGGGGCAGCGAGGGAGGAGAGGGGATGGGAACAGGGAAGAGGTGGGGAGCGGGGGGCGGGGAGGATGATAAGGGAAGGGTTCGGGGAGGAGTGGTGGCAGAGGGGAATAGGGGGGAAAGATGGGGGAAGGAGGGGAGACATGGAATGGAGCGCGCAGCACACGGAAGAAATATGGCAACGTGGCCACGATGGCGTGGCGCGGTGAAAGTGACAGGAATGCTCACCTGTGAATTGCGGATTAAGAAGCTTCCCGTGTTGAGGGCCACCCTGTGAGTGGGGGAGAGGGGCCGGGGGGGGGGTTGGGGGAGGGGGGAAAGGGAGGGATGCGAGGAAAGAGCCGGGGAGGCGGGTGAGTTGTGAATTAAGAAGCTTCTGGTGTTGACAGCCACCCTGTGAGTAGGGGAGCCGAGGGTGGGAGCGGAAGGAGGGGGGGGAGGGGAGAGAGGGGAAGAGGGTAGGAGGGGCAAGAGAGAGAAACACGGAGGCGAAGGAGAAGGGAGAGGAGGCGAATGGGGAGAGGGGAGTAAGTTGCGGATGAAAAAGCTTCTGGTGTTTAGGGTGACAATGCGGTTGAGGGAGAAGAAGGAGGGGGGGAGGTGGGGGGGCATAAGATGCGAAGGCGAAGGAGGGTGAGGGTGAGGGATCGAGGAAAGAGAAGGGAGGGGAGGAGGGATCGGAGGGAAAACGAGAGGGAGGGACTTGGAGAGGAGAACGGAGGGCAAGCGAGGGGAAGGGAAGCGAAGGGGGTTGGAGGCGATGGGAGACAGCAGGCTGGGAAAAGCAAGCATGGTACACTGGACGCAAGGAGAGGACGCAAGCAAGGAAGCAAGGAAGGCTGGGAAGGGGGCAGTGAGAAACGCCCCTGAGACTGGAGAAGGACGGGATGAGTGACCCGGGGGGGAGGAGGACGAAGCGGAAAGAGTGGCAAACGAAAAAGCGAGCGACGGCCATGGAGGGGGCATGTGAGGCGACTGCCGCTGGTCAGCTCAGCAACTCTCGCCCCGTCTCCTTCCCTCCCTCCTTTCCTTTCCTCCCACCTCCCTCTCCCCCTCCCTCCCTCCCTCTCCCCCTCCCTCCCTCCCTCCCTCTCCCCCTCCCTCCCTCCCTCCCTCTCCCCCTCCCTCCCTCCCTCCCTCTCCCCCTCCCTCCCTCCCTCTCCCCCTCCCTCCCTCCCTCTCCCCCTCCCACCCTCCCTCTCCCCCTCCCTCCCTCCCTCTCCCCCTCCCTCCCTCCCTCTCCCCTCCCTCCCTCCCTCTCCCCCCCCTCCCTCCCTCTCCCCCTCCCTCCCTCCCTCCCGCCCGCCCTCCCTCCTCCCCCTCTCTCGTTCACGCGCACTCACCAGTCCTTCTTGCCGTACACGTCAGCATCCAGCCCCGACAGCACGAGGATCTTGCCCGCCTGGTTCTCAATGGGGTACCGGAACGCCATGTCTGCGAGGCGGTGCACGCAAGGGAGGGGGGGGTGTGGGAACGAGGAGAGGGGGAGGGGTTATGCCTTGTTCGCGTGCCTCTATTGGGCATCGGAACGCCATGTCTGCGAGGCGGTGCAAGCAAGGGAGGGGAAGGGGGTCGACGTTCAAAGGTAATGCAGGGGGGGGGTTATGTGGTTTGCGCCTGGATCTCTATCCAGCACTGGAATGCCATGCCTGCCATGTGCTGCACGACGGGGAGGGCGAGGAGGAGCGGAAAGGTGGCGGGGAAGAGCGGAAGGATAAACAGAGAGAGCGGTGAGAAACTGGCGGAGAGAGGGAGACGCTACGAGCTGTGCGCACCACGTGACCCTTAAGGTAGCTGGATTAACTTGTAATAAACGAAATCGAATCAACCGTTCTGACTCACCCAGCACCCGTTCTGACTCACCCAGCACCCGTTCTGAGTCACTCAAATCAGATCGAGTCGAATCTTACCAGTGATCATGGCATCGGAGTCGACCCATTGAGCCACTCCACGTCCTTGAGCTGCAGCATGGGCAGCTGACTCTAGAGCCAACCCATCAGGTCACATTGTGTTCCAATCCACTCACCGGTGATCATGGCATCGGAATCCACCCATTGCAGCCACTCCACGTCCTTGTGCTGCAGCATGAGCAGCTGACCTGAGGCTACCCCATTGGGTCAGATTGTACACCTATGCACGCACTCACCGGTGATCATAGCGTCGGAATCCACCCACTGCAGCCACTCCACGTCCTTGTGCTGCAGCATGAGCATGCGCAGCATGGGCAGCTTCACCCAGAACGTCTTGAGGTGCGGGTCAATGGCGCCCATGCCGTAGTAGAACGGCATGTCTTGAATGCGCGCGTAGTCCTGCTTGTTCTTGAGGAACTTGAGCAGCAGGAAGTCGCCGCTGCTGTTGCCGTCGCCGCACCGCTTGCTGTTCGACCCAGACACCAGCATGATCTTGGGCTTGCCGTCCTTGGTCGCGTTGCACCCGGGGTGCGCCGCGATGTAAGCATTGCGCTGCGCATCCCAGTCTGTTGTTGGGAGGTTAAAAAGAGGAGGAAGAAAGGGAGATGGTGAATTTGTTTCACCGCTTTCTGTCGGACCCTGAGGCGAGGGGAGAGAGACGGGTGTTGATTCTTGAATCGAGAGGTGAGTGGAAACGTAACGCTCAGTGTATACTTATCGCAACTCTCCGTGTAACGAGCAACAGTCCTCAGTATATATTTTGATGACACTGGTTTCGATCTGTACCCGCTGTGCGATGCATCGGAACGTATGCAGCACAGCGATCATTACAGCTCCGAAAGATCCTGAAAGGGTAAGCGAGAACGCATGCCCGATAACACTCAGCTACGAGAGAAGATGTGCCATAGCACGTTCTCGCTGTAGTGTTACCTGACGTTGACTTATGACCAACATACCCTTGACTCGCAAACAGCAGACCCTCACACTCCATAAGCTTCAGCTAACATATCCTTGACGAGTTCCATAAAACACGGCTTCTCCGCGAAACCGAACATTCTCCCTGAATGACATAACCGACACTCGCCGTCCACCTAACCAGGTCTCGTGTCATGTGGCAAGCAACTCACGTACCCTTACACGCGGCTCCATATACTTCGGGCCTCCTCAGCGCCGAATGTGGGCTGACTCCTTTTTGAGACGTCTCAGAACACGTACCTTGACGCGCCTCGCGTCTCACGTACCCTTGACGCGCGGCTCCATGTAATACGGCGGCTCCTCGGCGTCGAAGGCGGGCGGGCTCCCTGCATCGCCCTCCGCCTCCTCCGGCGCGATCAGCGCCGCATCCTCCGCTTGCAGCTTACGGAGCGCCGTGGAGCTCAGGTTGTCGTACAGCGTGGTCTTGCGAGACGGAAAAATAGACGGAAACCGTCCGTTGTAAACGAGAAAGATTAGCGTCAGGAGTACTCCGACGATAATCGCCTGCTCGCCGCTCGAGCGACGCCGGTTACCCGCCTTGCGATTTCCGGGTTGTGCCATAACACCCGGGTTGCGATTTTCGGGTTTCGACGAAACTGAGCAGTTTCGGAGGCCTGGAGCGTTCGCGGGATCTGCTAACTTTGGATTTCCGGGAAAGGCGTTCCGTGGGGAGCGTATGAAGCCGGGCGCTTGGTGAAGAGAGGACCGTACGCACGGATTCGTTCTTCGAGCCGGCTGCTGGCGAAAAGAACCCCACCTTAGTGCGCTACGCACAGCTAGAGATATCCGTTCATTGTTCCAAAGGAGGGGGAAGTCTCTGGGCTTGATACTGTAGGAGGTGCAGCAGAGGGACAACTTCACCACTGAGACTGGCACCGATGTGACTAGTGTTCACACAAACATACCTCCAATGCGGTTCAGTACTTCACGCAGTTTAGAGCGTTCAAATAAGAATCGAGAGGGTTTGAGCCTGGTTCAGATCCCATCCATCCCATCACTCGTCCCTTGCCTCGCATCTTTCCCGCGTCGCGCGAAGCAGGCTTCTGACACAACTTGACCTTAGCACCGCAGTTCACGTGTCAGACAACAGTTCGATGCCATTTGCGGGCAGCGTTTCTTTCCATGGTCAGACGAATCACCAGTGGTGGCGGGAAACACCACCTCGGTCAAGTGAACCCGCTGACTTGGTTTGGAGTCACTGTAGAGGTTGCGGAAGCTGGTGTAGTGATTTGGTTGTACACCTTGAGCCTGACAGAGGAACACAACTTTTCAGGGTGCCGGTAGACAAAAACGCGCAGGGGTTTCGCACGGCTCGTCACGGGCATGTGGGCCTTTCGCACGGGCACGAAGGTTACCGTTTTGATGTTTTGCGGGGTAGGTTTGAGTGGCATATTTTGGCGAGCCATTGTTCACTTAGTTACCCTGTGTTAAATTTTGGCGCTTTCAAGCAAGAGTGAGTTTCTCTGGTGTAGCACAAGAGAAATGATGGTTGGCGGGTGAGATGTTGAGTGAGTTTACCTAGTTTGATTTGCTCCCTTTTATTACTCAGTGAAATGTAGCGAGGGTTTGGAGTCGCATTTCAGTTCCAAGTGTTAGGGGCGTGTTCTAAAGACTTATGACATTACGAATTGAAGGTTCGTGTCGCAAAAATAACTGTTGCGTGGATTGTGGGAATTAGTTTTCGAGTTTGTTCCTCGGTTGGTTGTAGGATATTGAGAACGACCCCTGGCATCAGGACATCGCGACTCCATTTCGCTGCCAAGTCAGCGTTCGGTTTCATGCGGCGATGCTCAAGCCACAAACAAACCCCGCAAGGCGTGCGCACCTTTGCGAGCTCAACGAAAGGCTCGCTGAGCTTCGTCGGAGCGCTATTCTGAGCGGGGCTGGAAGTTTGTGGCGAAAACAGTTGCGGCGCACATCTTTCGTCTTGTGCCGCATGTTCGTCACCGCTGTCATAATGACGCTGCACTGCTAGCTCTGCTCACGACCCACGTTGAGTGGGTCGTTGCCCGTGTGCCAACGGTAATGGGCGATGGTTTCTGATTGGGCCACGTATTGAGCTGGGCCTTAGGTGTGCACCCTGTGTAGCTGTCTGAGGGATTTTAGCTCATGCAGTCAAATCTGTAAGGGAATTACGATTCCTCACTGGGGCTCGCCACAGCGAGTACACGCGAACCTCTCGGTTCGGCAGGCTCGGCCCTCAAGTCACGCGCCAAACCAGCCCTTGTCGACCTTTTTGGCTCCAACCTGATCCCGAGTCGCCCCGAACCCATTTTGACCCCGTCACCATCGGGACTATTGAGACCTTGACTCGTCCAACCCTCGACATTCAACACTGGTCAACTTGCATTATATAAGCCCTAGGCCTCATTATTCTGTAGGATTCTGTAATCACGTTCCCCTATAGTATTCTGCGCTATACTCTGAGTTATAATTCATAACAAAATATATGGGGTTTAATGAGTTTTATTAGGTCGTAACCAGATTACAAAACAAAGGCACAAACACAGCTACACAGCCAAAATCCTGCGCAGAAACGCTATCTGCCCGGCTTGCACTGGAAGGAAGCCGAGAGGTTTCAACCCTTGTCTGTAAGACTTAGCACACGAAGGCATGACTAAGGTGGGCGTAAGTTATCGTTTAGCAGCCAAGTGAAGAGAGGGAAGGCCGGCAGCCGAGAAGGTGAGGAGATGAAGTGCCTTGGCGAGTTTAATACGGGCCGCAAACGTCTGCCGACGCTTCTTAGACATACCAGGTCGGTGGTGGAAGAACAGTCTGCAGGCCATAAGGAACGCAGCTAGAATCATGTGGAGAGTAGTTAAGTCGGTGGATGACTTCATCACACCGAGTGTTCCATAGAGCTTGCGCAGCTGCGCCGACGAGGAGGCTCCAAGGAGCGTGCTGACCACCGCGTTGCGGAAGCGGAAATAGGGAGTGTTCAGCAGACACCACAACTTATAGATGCAAATGACCTATGCGTTGGAGCGCCAACGTGACCGCAAGAGCGGCTCCGCATTCAAAGGAAAATGTTGGGCAGGCATTCCAACGGCGCTGCAGGACACCGAGGGCAGTGAGTGCCGGCGATTTTGAACTTGAACCGGGAGCCAGATGGAAGCGCACACATGTAGAGGCGGAAGAGAAGGTCCCTTTGCTGACTGGTTTGTTCACAGAGAAAGGGATGGCGAAGAGATGGAAGGCTGCTGATCGGTTGTCGTAGCTCCGAGTTCCACCCGTCGAGGCGGTTGGAACGATGCGCGGAATAGAGCAGTTTCTTGATTGCGGCAAACAAGGGGAAACCTTCGAGAAGCAAGTCGATGCATGCAGCGAGGCCGGCACCGACCCCCAAAGGACAAAAAAACCAGCCGTTGGAGACCCAGGCCGGAATGAGAGTTACCTGCGGAAGACAGCAGCACCCCAGCGACTCCCTGACGACACGACGATCCTCGTTGACGGCGAAACGGCGCAGGATGACTGAAGCAGGGGGGATGAGAGAGACAACCTGGAGGACAGGCATGGGGGCCTGATGAAGAAAGATTGCTTCAAAGGCCCAATCTCCAATCTCAAGGTAAGAATGGGGAGGTGAGAAGGAGCAGAGGGCAGACAACCAAGAGGGTGGAATAGTAGCGAAGTTCTTTGTAGATGGCGTGACCTCTGGGGAAAGCACCAGGAGGGAAAGATGCACGAAACTCGCGTTTAGTGAGCTCCCGAACGCCCCCTGGGATGGGGGCCAGGAGCTGACCGAGTCGCAGTTGGAGGGACAGGAGAAACTGTTCATCTTTGACACGGCCGAAGGGTGTACCATTGGCTTTGAGCAGCCACAGGTTAAACGCAATGGGTTCAGAGAGCAGAACCCAGGGGACAAGGGGAGGGGGGAGAATATTGAGTGGGGGCTCCACGAAGCAGGATAGTTCAGCCAGGGCACGGGCGAGAGTAAGTGGGCTGAGGTGCTTAAGAATATCCAGGTGGGAGAGGAAACCTTGAAGCCCAAAGGGAAGTGGAACACAAACAGAGCGATGTCCTCTTGCGGGGTGGGGCGGAAACGGCAAAGAGCCCGTTGAATATTGTGAGCACGGATAAGGGTGGAGAACGGGGTTGCCCCCAAGCCACCATCTTGCTTCGTTTTGTGAATCAAACAGGTCGGGATCATGCGCATGGCCATGAAATGAAGTTTCTGACCACCATATCCAGACGATTGAGGACGGGGGGAGGAGGGGGCTGAAAATGGCTAGGAAAGTAAAAAGCGGGTTAAGGCGCTCAGAGGAGAGGGCAGCATGACAGGTGGAGGTGGGTCGAAGGCGGGCGAGAAAGTTGGCAGTATGATCCACTTTCGAGATAGTTTTGCCAGGGGAGTTGGGTTCCACGAAAATAGCCAGAATCCGTTCCGCTTCGTCCGCGACACGAATTGGGATGGGATGGGCATCCACAGTACTTTGCTGAGGGGTGGTGGTCGAAAGAAGGGAGCATTTGGCCCAATTGGGGTATTCCCCGGAGACGGCCGTGAAGGATTGTAGGGCCTGCTTAGCGACAGGAAGTTCAGCAGGAGAGTTCAGGAAGATTGAAACATCATCTGCGCAAGCAGCCACGAGACGACGCTGGGAGGGCAAGAAAGGGAAACCAAGGAGCGAAAGGGAGAGGTGCCGATGCATGACTTCAATCACACAGAGAAAGAGGAGAGGGGCAAGTGGACATCCCTGCCGGACCCCCGAGCGGACCAAGAAGGAGGGACCAAGTTTGTTGTTAACTGAGATACGAGTGGAAGAGTTAGAGTGGAGAATCCGCACGTACGTGACAAATTCGGAGGGGAGCCCCAGGTGAGCCAGGCAGTTGAAAAGGAACTCCCTAACAACCATGTCATATGCCTTCTTAATATCGACTGTGAGAACCATGAGAGGAAAGGAAGAGATGGTGGCCCATTCCGTCAAGTCAAGAGTATCATTAATCGTGTCTTTGATGCGCCGGCCCTTGAGGGAAGCCGACTTTGAGTGGTGAATAAGCTGGGGTAGAACGCGCTGAAGGCGGTTGGCCAGAACGAAGGCCAGCACCTTATAGTCCACAGTCATCAACGTGATAGGTCGCAAGTTCTCGACCAGCGAAGAGTCCCCTTTCTTAGGGATAAGGACCGTCTGTCCCCCTAACATGGAGGTAGGCACCGGCGGCAGAGAATGGAGTGAAAGAGCCAGAGCATGGGAGGGGCGAGGGTTTCATGGTGTGTCCGAAACAGATCTCCCGAGAGGATGTCATTGCCGAGAGACTTTCCTCGGGCAAGGACTGTGAGCGCACGTTCTACCTCCTTCAGGGAAAGGGGGGCAGCAGCTTGGAGGGTCAAATGGGGAGGGAGGGAGGGAAGAGGCGGGGATATGACTCCAGATTGAGTTGCAACGGTTGATGGGGGTGCTCCCGTTATACAGAGTACTGAAGAAGTTGGAGAAGAGGGCCGTCATCTCCCCTAGATCTGTAGTGAGGGCACCTAAAGGGAGTTTGAGCGAAGGAATTAGAGAGTCCTTGATCGGGGAGTTCAAGCCAAGAAACATAGAGGGGATGCCCATTTCACGGGGACCCTCCACTTTCAGCTTGACTTTGAAGGCGATTTCCGACGCCTTAGAAAAAAGGTATTGTTCTAGCTGGTGGGAGTGCTGATTGAGGAGGGAGGCCACCACAGATTCTCCGGGGGGAGCGAAGAAGATGGAACTGAAGGTGACATACCTCATCCTGTAAGAACGAGACGATTTTGGAGGTGCCACCCACTTCAACCGCGAACCAGTGAAGGTGCTTGCACAGATCCTTCTTCCGCAGGTCCCACCCTTCAGGGGAGGTAGAGGGAGAGAGGTGAGAGACGGCCTCCTTAAGGCATTTAAGGACAAATGGATGATGGATGAGGGGGCGGGGAAAGCGCCAAGGGCGGGGGGCACCAAGCGCCAAGAGAGGAGTGGGAAGCGGGTGTGA